CAGGTGCCTTACTAGTAGTAACAAGAACGTTACTAGTAACAGGTGCCACGCTAGTGGGCTCCTGGCATCGCGACTCGAACGGAGCTCCGTGAGATCCGACGAGCTCTGAGGCACTGTGATGCTGCTCGCAGCGGTCATTGGTGGAAGGCCTGGGCGATGGAAGAGAGACATCACCTAGGCCCTAGGCCAGTCAACGTTATCTTTATTCATTCTTTTATTCTATTTACTTTCTAGCACTGTCGTTATTGTTCATTTTTCATACCTTTTGTCACAATTACAATGTTTGTTGTACTCATTGCACTCATGGTGCTCATGGCTTACTCAATTGTCACTTTCAGAAATGCATGTCTCATGGGTCTACATGAGACAACATGTCCTAGTCTCTTTCAGCAACTTCTGCTTCGAAAAAGACACATCGATGCATTCTATAAATAATCCTGGCAGCGGAAGATGTCAGGCTGTATTGCTGTATTTGGACGTGCATGCAGACCTTCCTGTCTCGTGTTCGAGTTTTCAGCCGGAGATGTCTTCTGTGCCAAGTAGAACTCAGGCTTATCCAAAGCTTGGAGCCCATTTGGACATCTAAGACGTAGAAGCTCAACCGGGGGTATTTTCCTCTCGATCAATTGCATCTCTGCTTTGGACAGTTGGCAGGCTGGTGCTGAACTGCAGTGATGTGGTCTCAAAAAACCAAGTGGTGGTTGCCATGGCCACAAGTCTCAAGGCCAGAGCCGGGATGATGGGAAGTGAACGTTGCAGACGGACGAGCGAAGCAGAACTCGAATCAGCCCTGGCTGACCGCTCCCCATCGAGACCTTACCCGCCCGTCTACACTTGGGTGCATTGCAGGCATTTTGCTTCAGCTTGTTAGGCTGCTCCAGGCTCCCGGTTGTTTGCGAATCACACTCCTGGTCACCAGGTATCTCAAGGAAAGGCAGACCAAACGCACCTCCGAAACGACAGGCACCTGCACAGCTTCATATCCCTCTCCTCGCAGTCCTTAAATCGGGCGTCATTAACTGCCGATGGCAATGGCCGCAGTAGCTTGGGTTCGCCCCACACTGAAGCCTAGCGACCTGATGGTGGAGTCCCTGGGAGCGCAGAAGCCCGAGCTGCCGCGACTTGGACTGAGTCGGTACCACCAAGTTGCCATCTGAAACCACGCATCAGCGGGGAACATGGACATGTTTTAGGCATTCATCTCAGCATCATGAGGCTTCTTTGGAACACCGAGCAGGGAATTTCAATCCACGAAGCAAAGAACCTCGCTTTTAAGTTTGATAGCCATGCTTGACCAAATGCTCATTGGCACCCATAGAATAGGCATGGAAATCAACTTTTTGCCGTCGGTTGTGGAGATTGACTTTTGTTGACTTTTTAATTGATTGCTTGACCAAAGAGAAATGGACAGATACTGGATGTGTATCATTTGTTGCGTGCAGATAAGGCAGGTATATACAATGCGGATCAATGCGCCCGATCATACTTTCAGAGATGTTTAACATCCGCAGAATCCATTAATCTTTTTGGTGATTGATGTTTGTTTTTCAACTCAATTCTCACTTTTTGAATGAGGGACGATGTCCGGCCCTTCCGGAAGTCTTATCATTCCTGGACGCACGAGGGTATCGCGCCCAACCGCTTGACCCACGACAGCTGGATGGAAGAGATGGAGCAGTGCATGATGCTTAGCAAAAACCGAAGAAAGTCGGTTTTGTGTTTTGCTTCTTTCAGCAGGGAGAACGGAAAATGGATGGCCCAGAATGGATCATCGTTTGGGCTTTTTTGGACGCTTTGTGTGTTTGCCTGTTCACATATTCCAATATATGTTTGTTTTGATCCGCACGCTATTTGTGAAGGAGCTTCATCAACACGCACCCTGCTCGTTTGAAGCAGCTCATCCGGACGAAGCGAGGGGAATCTGCAGTTTACGCTCTTTGGGACTGGCTGGAGGAAACAATGATCCGGAGAAGATGACTTGCAAGCCTCTTTTACAAACAGTTGCTTGCAAGGAATGTGTCAAAGCTGACCACTGGGAAAGGGATTGGCTTGACAGTTAATCTTGATATCATTCATTTGTACTTCTTTTCAAAACTCTTTTGACTCTTGACGTGCTCCTGCACTGTGGGCACAGTTCCCTCAGCTGACCGCTGATGTTTCTGCCGACTGCCGATGTCGGTCTGCAGCAGAAAACCCCGGGCAGCACGAATATTTTTCTGTCGATAGCAGGACATGGCAGAACTCCGGATGCAGATGAGTTGAATAGAAGGACTTCCAAAGCAGTGAGACAGAGGATAGCTGGGCATCAATTGTTTGTCCAACTGAACAACTCGCTTTGCCGTTATGTCCTGCTGCCGTGCAGTTTGCACTCACTCTGTGAGTGGATGTTGCCCTGCAGTTTGCGCAAGGCGTGAGGCTCACGCATCTGAAGAAAAGAGGAAAATCTGTCAATTGACGTGGTTCTCACAAGAGACTTGTTGACATTGGTAAGGTGGACAAACTTCCGGACCAGTGGAGTACTGCAACCCTTCGGGTGCACCGCACATGTGTTGACGTAAAGAATGGTTTTGGAGCGAACGGAGCTATGCAGCTTTTAGAGCCTGACGATTTGGAGTAGCGTGTGGGCTTGCAAAGCCATATGACTTGAACAAATGCAGAAGAGTGTTTATATTGTAAGTGTCATTTTGCTCAGTTGCACAGCTACTTTTTGTCCCACCTGGCTTTTTTGTCCCGCTTGGCTGCACTCGCTAGTCACTAGTCACACATAGCCCGTGAAGTTTCCCAAAGTTATAAAGTGGCAAAGCTCACACCGTTTACGGTTCAGTCATATTCTGGAAAGCAATACCTCTTTTCAGGGGTTCCAAGAGCAACTCCCATCTCTGAACATGTTTGTTTATTTTGAGGTTTTGCTGATTGAGACATTTTTTTGCGGGCAAGAGGTACTTGCTGAACACATGACAAAAGAAACTGGCTTGGGCATGAAAACACTCACATTTTTGGTTCACTCCAAGCTTTTACCATGTGAGGCCATGTATCGCTTTGGTGCCGATTCAGGAACCTTTGAGAAGGACCGCTTGCAAAGAGGGGATCCGTAGCGCTTCTTTTTGGCATATTTTTTCCGCAACATGTTTGTACGTTTAAGCTCTTCTCCTCTTCTCCTTTAGGAGTGGAGATATTGGAGGCATTTGATGTCCTCAAAACCGGAACCTGCGACCGTTTGCTTCCCAGGACTGGGCCTCTGTTTTTCTGCGCGAGCGATCAAGGCGCTTGGAAAGAGAGGCTCAACAGACCTTGCAGGCGATCAGAGCGACCGCCAGCGACCGCTCCTCAAAAAAAATGACCGTTTTGGGCTCAAAGATGAATTAAAGGCATGTATATGTTTTACACCTTCGTGCGTTGGGTGATCATATACCATACCGACCACAACTCTCAAATGCACTCTCGGAGGTGCTGAAGGAGCAGGATAGCCTTGATCTGGTGACTCGCCATACATACGGCAGCGGGTGGGTGAGTTTGCTGGAACGTCCAGTGGTAGGTGACTAAGCCCCCTGCCCTCGAGCAGCATTTGCTAAAGCTTTCTTGAAAGTCTTTCTGAATCTGAAAACCACTCCAGCCACTTGAAAGCCTTTCTTGAAAGTTCTTTCTGTTTGCTAAAGCTTTCTTGAAAGTTTCTGGTGGCTTGAGAACTGTGGCTGTAGTGGATTGGAACTCAGAGCCCCGCCGAGTTGCAGCTGGGCCGGCGGCGCAAACACCTGACGGATGGCGGAGCCGTCCATGCAAGAAGTATCTTCGAGGCGGACGTCTTTGGGCTTCTGACGGTGTAAGCGGGGGTCGTTTGGACAAGATCTGTGGGTGGGGAGGTACTGTATTCAGTTGTGTTGTGTATTTTTTGACATCGATATATCATGAAGTATTCTTCAGAGAGGAGTTGTAGTGTTGGGACATTTTCCTCCCATTTGTTGAGTCTTTCGCAAAGTCTAGCCACGCATCCCAACTAAGATCGAGAAAGAGCATTGTTTCCCTCGTAAAACGGCTGCTTTGTATCCATCCGGCCCAAACAACCCCCAAGCGAATCCTAAATGACCCCTAGGTCTAAACAAACCCTAACGACCTCAGTCAACCCCAAGCAAACTTGTGAAGGAGCAACATAATAAAAGACATGCACTAAGACTAAAACAGAGAGATGATTTTTGTAGAATATTATTACTAATAGACTTAATAGACTTCCATTCATTCGTATCTTGGAAGACACCTAAACAATCCCTAAGCACACCGTAAACATAGATCGATGGAGATTGATGGCTCGAATGCTTTGCCTGTAAGTCCAACGAGTCTCATTTTGGACAGAATCATTTTATTGTAAATGAACTCAAGGCAGCAACAAGTGGCAGCAACCATATTACTTTTGAGGTGTTCAGCCTTCAAAGTTTCGTGACATGCACCGATTCTTTCCGCTGTGCATCAGAAAGCTTTAGCTTCTGGCAGCATCCAAACTACACAAGGATGCGGCGCTTAATTGGATAAGAGGTATACTTACATTCCGGACATTTAAGCTCCAACTTCAAGAGTACGTTTCCACCACAAGCGGATCGTGATGGTCTGTCGCCTGTCTACCTTCAGTTGATGTTTGGGAGGTCACTGGGGCAGAAGCCTTTAAGCTCTTGGACAAGAACAATGACGGGCGTTTGGACAAGGAGGTGCAAAGACCTTAGGGGAGGGATTGCTTTGGGCAAACGTATGTAAACAGATTCCAAGCTCCCTGACTACGATAGGTCCCAACGCTGAGACCATCAGTCCTGAAGGGGTTGAGTTCGCTTTCATCGGATTTGGGGTATCTGCAATATCCCAATCCCCCAGCCGAGCCTCCCAGGACTCGGAGGTCGATTCGTTGGAACTGGGAGGAGGACTCCGTGAGACTCGTGTGAGACGGCCTTGCAGGAATTTGAAGAGGCCTTGCAGGAGCAGTTGGCGAGCAACTCTGATAGCCCAGACATTGAGGAGTTAAGGCCTGAAAGAGCGATGGCCACAGTGATGGGTCTGGGACATGAGGCACACTGTGCGCCTTCCAACCCTCCTCCAGCTTTCTCGAGGCAAAGCCAAGCACAAGAAAGGCCAACCAAAAGGGCCTTTTGGGCCACGCAACCTTCGTAACCAAAGTCTGAAGAGAAGTGGAAGACCAGGGTTACGAAAACAGAAGACTCTGAAGTAGAAGACCCGGGTTACAATGTCTCTCCGGGTTTGGAGATTGCTCTTTAAGACCCGGAAAGAGAAGACCCCAGAACCATCTCCAAGCCTTTTCCGATCCTTCACGTCAGGGAGAGGCCAGATCTCACTCTCCTGCTGGTCCGCGTTTGGGAGGCCAGGCACCGTCCTCACCGATGGTGTGGTTTCTTGTTTTCAAACTGTTCGGTGAAGAGTTGACCGGAATGTTCAGGTCAAATGGCGGACACCCGCTGCATACGGGTCCCTGCATTTCGTGTCGCACTTCGCTGCTTTGGACTTGTGTGATGTAGTTCTTGTATTGCTTCTTGGCTTCAATTCGGCGTGTTTGCTGTTCCAAACAATTGTACTTTACATATGATGGCGGTACATACCCATCAACTTCGGATACTCCGTTCGCTTACCGGAGGCCCTCTTCGATAGAGGTGCGGCTTCGAGACAGTGCGCAGGCTAATCGAAGCCCGGAAACCATTATAGAGGGTTGGTTGATATGCCTTGTAGCTGTATTCGTATATGTTCCTCTCTTTGCCACCCTCCTTTGAATTGACCTGGCCAGGGCGTGTGGTCGGAGGTGATATGCTTCCTCAAGCACCTTGGAGGCCAAAATGCAGAGACCGCAAGATTCATGGCCACTTGGGACTCCAAAAACTCTTTCGCTTGGACATCATCGGCACAAATCATTCTGACTTTGCATGGGTTCCAGTGAATCGGCAAGAGTATTGTCGCATACTCAGATGAAGCACGAGCTAATTTGGGATGAAGAGATATGCCACAAGTTTTTCCACCAAAAAAGAATCTCAACACCTTTCTCAAGACTGCATAAACCTCCAAGAGTTTCTCTGGGATACTTTTTTTAGGCTTGCTGTATCCCCTGGTACCCATGGTTTTCAGGAGAAAGGGAAAACGAGCAGCCCAGCTAAGTCACTCAAAACCAGCGTAGGGCACCAACTCAGGCACCAAAGAAGTGGCCTCATCGCTTCAATTTCTGAGGTACTTCATAGGTTGGAGGCCATCGCTATTAGGTTGGAGGCCATTCATTACTACTAGTAACAAGAAGCTACTAGTAACTAGTAACTACACATGAAGTGACACATGTCATCAGCCCACATTATATCTGTCACTGAGGTACTTCATGAAGGGCCATCAGCTCCATGTCGGTGGTGGAGTTGGGCTTTCGCATCCTCCCATCGTGGTGCTGAGCACCTCGGAAGCCCCGCGGGACCTCATCGAGCCACTTCATCGCAAGGCGCAATTTGTAGTGGTTCCCCCCCTTGTTGTTTTGAACGCTCCACTTCCATCCACTTCCTGCATACCTCTTCGATCTTCTTCCAAACAAAGGTCTTTCATGATGTTCTGTCTTCAGAATAGATGAGGTATCTGCAGGTATCTCCACCGTGTGTTGTCTCGTAGCTCAGGCAATGGGAGTCCAAGACCTGTTGCTTTGTGAAGGGTGACGTCTTGAACACTCGGAACTTGACCGGTGCTGGAATCAGGAGGGTGCACCAGCCTGGTGTTCCAGTCGAAGAAACGACAGCGAGATTGGTCTTGGACTACCTGGTGCTCGGTCTGAAAGTTGAAATGCACTATGTGTCTCAATCCATCTTGATCTTACTGTCCTTGAAGAAGAGCACCTTGCTGCTTCCATAAGGTCTTAGTTCGTTCGCATGTGCCCCTTCATGTCGTTGGCACACCTAGACACCTGCGGCGCCACACACATTGCGACTCGCAGGAATGCGGCCAGCATCATCTCCATCGGTCGAAAGGCTCCACATGGTCCGTTGATGATTTGATTGGGAGAAGGCTACTTGACCTTCCACTCTCCATGCTTTGATCCAAGGACTATTGCCCAGGGCTTTTCGTTCAAAGTTCACAAATTCGATCGCCATAGTGAAGTAGCATCAAACAAGGCAACTCTCAGGGATGAATGTGGAAGACAGCTGGGACCCTTTTTTTTCATTGGCAGCCCAGAGATGTTTTATTCACATGTAGATACATGTATTCTCACAAAAAGAGGGAGCCCGTGCAGGGAGTCGTTGTCATAAAGTAATTTAAATGTATTTTCTACTGTTTGAGAGATTCGATAGATTCACCACTTCATCAACGAACAAGTCAGAATTTGTCTCGGAAAGATAGGGACTTTCATAGCCAGCAGGTCTTGCCCAAAGACAGCAGCATGCCGGATGCAGCCTTGGGTGACTCTGACTGCGTGGAGTTGTGCGGCGCCGTAGATCAGGCAGAGCTTGACCAAAGACCGATGTGAGAGGTCCGGCAATCGATGCAGCATGAGCTTCTAGACAAACCAATTGGACAAACACACTTAGTTGGATTCCAACCTGAGATCCTCAGCCTGGTGCTACGCCTTTTCCATCCTTTTATGTCTAACATCTCGCACTCTGAGCTATGTCTTCTTGAGTGATGACATCGGAGCCAGCTGTGAGGCTCTCGACGCGAACAGCAGAAACCGTGGCCAGCTCCAACTCTTTGAGTTTAGCTTCACACAATCAGCCACTTGGATTTTTAGCTTCAAGGCTTGCTCAAAGAAGAACTGCAAAGGCTTTAGAAAGAGAGAGAGAGAGAGACATAGTGTAAACAAGTAAGTGGTTATATATACTGTATATAATATAGATTTAAAAAATATAATATAAATTGATAACACACATATATATATATATTTATAGCAGCTGCAGAGTTAGTGCAAAACCCTGGATGTCTTCGTGGAACCCTCACCGGCTGCAGGTCTTCCTCATGTCGCGCATTGAGAGGCCGACAAAGCCATGAGTTGGGCGTGTTGGTCTCGCCAGAGTGTTGTCCTCCGAAGTTCACGAGCAGAGAACAGAACACCTTGGCAAGATCGTTTATGATTTGGCAGAGTCCCGGTGCAAAGGCCCCGCGTGATATATCTTTGAGGCTTCGATGCTGCAAGGCTTGGTTGTGCTTTTTTTTCCATGACCAAGCCACGCTGGTGTATGGGGAAGCCTCTGGCCTTGGGGAAGACACTGGCCCTTCTCGTTCCGAGTAGTGGTTGTTACACTCCCCCACGGGCCACCATCAAACCGACTTCCTGGGCAACCACTTCCTGGGCCTTCGGCCCTGGTGGCACGGTGAGTAATCGTGAGCAATCCCGGCAGGAATTCCTTGAAGCAGCATTCCAAGACCCGAGTCTTCATCTCCGAGGGCTGCGACTCGAGCAGCGAGGCGGCCCCGCGCGTTTCGGACACCGTTTTCGGGAGTTCTGCGGCCCGGGCCGCAGGGCTTCCTCGTTGAATGGATTTGTGAAAGAGAGGGTAGATTCCTTGTTCTTTCAAATTTTGAATGGGAGGGACATCGTTCTATGTTTAAATTTTCTTGTTTTTGGTCCCTCCCAGATTGGCCTGAAAGATCCCTGCCTGACAGGTGCAAGAGCAAGAGGTCCAGAGCCACGACACATATGTGGACAAGGTGCTTCGTGAGAATCCAAATCATGCCGAGTATTCTCCCCCACTATATAGCAAAGTAGCCACATTGTCAAAGGAAGAATAATCTCCCCAACCAACAGGCATTAGTTTCTTGCCGAACATAGGTTCTGGTTCTGGTTCTGTCCTGCACATGCACTTGACCATTGAACCGTCTCGTACTGTGTCCAATGCAGGAGATGCTTATTCTCAACGAGAGCTTCGCAGCCACTCAAGCGGAATCTAGAGGGCATTGTCCATCAAGTTGATGGAAAGGGAGGTGAGCTTGCACCTACAGAAGATGATCTAGTTCTAGTGACTGCCTTCTTTCAGAGCCTTGGTAGGAACGGCCTGAAGGTATTCAGGTACTCCAAACATTTACCCGCATGCCCTACAGACACATTCATGATTCATGATTTACCGGAGCCTCTTCCACACTGAATGAAGGACCCATCGGTCTCCATCGACCATCGACCGGACGACCGGTGTTTCGACCCATCGACGGCCTGGCGGAAGAGCGGTCACGCGACGGTCACGACCGGACGAAAGGCTGGGCAAGCTTTCACCTTGGACTTCTTTGGAGGTCTCTTCGGGCGGATCCACAGGCTCCTGCCATGGAAAGCACATGAAAGCACCGGGTGCATCTTGAAAAGCACCGACTCTGGTGCCACTTCATGGAAGGATTGGACCAATGTGTTCATGGATGTTCGCAAATGCGAGACGGTTCGTGATTCCCACGCTCGATGTGTTCCGCATCATTCTTTGTTGAATGGGTGGAGAACTGATCTTTCACAGCAGGTTTCCCGCTGCGATTGAGTTCCTCCATGCGATTGTGAGCCCGGAAGAGGGGCAGCACAAGTCTCGGCTTTGGCAGGCCACCTGAGACTGGTTGCTTGTTTCATTCCAGCTTGCAGTTTGGCAGTCAGATGAAGTCACATTGGTCAAGACTACGTTCTTTCGTGATCAGGGCATGTTCCATTTAAACTCTACACGCGAATGGTTTGGAGAATGAATTCTCTGCCCAGCGCTCACCGATCCCCCCAAGCCTCCCCCCGCCGACCGATCCGCACCACGACCTGAACGCGGTTCCGCCGGCAGACCAAGTGCCCGCTCACCTGGGTGGACCGGAGCTTCGGAGAGTTGGTGCAAGCACTGGCGACCTGGGCGAGCACAGACCTGGGTTGAGCGAAAGGCTGAGGAGAATTGTTGAGAGGTCATCTTTTTGGTTGGCACAGTGCTGAGCTGTAGGGGTTCTTCTTCCTGTATCTTTCCCCAAACAGTTTACTGTTGGGGTTCTATCTTAGAAAAAAGAGCTGGCCACACTGACTGGCCGCGCCCCTGAACTCTGTGGCCGGGCTTTGTGTCCTGGCTCTGTGGCCGGGTCTTGTCCTCCTTTTGTCCTGCTGTTGTCCTTCTCTTGTCCTCTGGCCGTACTGACCAGCCCTGGACACACTGACTGGCCGCGCCCCTTAACTCTGTGGCCGGGTCTTGTTCTCCTCTTGTCTTCTCTTGTCCTGCTCTTCTCTTGTCTTCTCTTGTGGCCAAACAGTTAGCGATGTCGATGCCGACAAAAATCATTGATAAAGCAGTTTGCTCTTGGGTGGAAAGGTAGGGCGTGCCAAGAAATTGTTTTTGACTAATTTTGGTCCGAACGAATCGTTTTGAAGCTGCTTGGGGTCTATGCTGGTATAATTTGGGCAGAAGATGTTCTTGATGTTGTGCAGAAGTGGATATTCCTTTCTGTTTAGATCTCTAAAATCTCTGTTTGGAGGGTCGGAAGAGCAACGCTATACACAAAGGATCCAGCAGCTCAACATCCTGAGATCTGCCGGCTTTCCAGTCACCGGGTCTCCTACCAAGGTGACTGGCAATGGGGGTGAGGTGCGCTAGCGAGCTCCGAAATCGTTTCAAACAATGATTGTTGGTGGTCCAGGGAGGAGCTTTCGCTGTTCCAACAGAACACATCTTGCCCGTAGAATAGCAATCCCCTTCATCCACCAAAGCACGAGCAGGCTAGTGACTAGTGCTGGTCAAGGATGGGAGGGTATTGTTCGGGAGGTAGGTCCAGACAATCAACCTACCAAGGCAACATTCCAAGTCAGCCAACTATCATGAAGTTGCCAACCCACCCACCAATCCACCAACGAATCCGATGGCCAGACCAAACCAGGCCAGACGAACCAAGGCGACGGAGTTCACGAGTCGAAGTCTTCGCGATCTTTTTTCCGCCCGGGGAGGCCTTTGGTCACTTCAAGGGCTGCTCGATCCCAGTGGCACTCTATCGAGAAAGCCGTGGGTCGGGGGCCAAGCGTTCGCTGCTTCAGAATTGCTGTGATCAAACTGATTTAATCAATGGTTTTGATAGGGCTAGTGGGGTACGGGACATCTATTTTGGCAATTGGAACGTAAAAAAAGTGCAGTTCAGTGAGCATTTCATGATTGAAGGATAGCATGAGTTTGTTGCCACCATCGTGAGTGTGTAGCCGGTGTACCCTCCTAATCGTTGTGTTCTTGTCTCATCCATTCCCATTTCCGACTGGAACGTTGCCAGACGGGCCATCCGAAGATTGCTCATCCGACAGAGGCGCCACTTGCCTGACAGCTGTGCGGGCTTCAACTTCACGGGACCGCCGATGAACACGAAGCTTGAGGTGGGTCCACCCTGAGCAAGCAAGCAAGATGATGATGGCTATTAACAATTTTTAATATAGGTATATATTGTTATTGCTATAATATGTATGAACCGAGGGCTATTCTTTTTTTTCGATCTGCTTCTTACTGCTTTTCTTGCTTTTCCTCGCTTCTTTGTGACCTCTCCTGCTTTTCCTTGCTTCTCATTGCTTTTCTGCGGTTGCTCCCGCTTTTCTTGCTTTTCCTTGCTTTTCATTGCTTCTTTGTGAATGCTTTTTGTTCTTACTTTTCCTGCTCCCTTTGCGCTTGGCTTGTTCTTCCTGGCTTTTCTCCTTTACTTTCCTTCTTTTTTGTTTTTTGTGGCGTATTGATTCCCGATCGTAATGGCTTTTTCTTTCTACGGTCTTTGTTGCTTTCGCTTTTGGTAAGTTGGTTTTCAATCCTTGAATTCGTTTTGCTTTATGCTTGCATATGCTCGCTTTTCTGGCTTTGTATGCTTTTCCCACTCTTTGTTTGGCCCACTGGTGGTTGTGTTTTAGTTCACCTTAAGGAACAACCCAAGCGCATCATATGAACAACACTCTTTCATTGTGGGAGCAGCTGTACTGGGTACAGATCACATAGGAGTTAAGGCGTCAAGTCACAAAAGGAATATAGTCGGGTAAGTCCTATGTCATATCAAAAAGGTGTTGGCACCTAACCGTTAGATGACTATAGGTAGAGCAGGACGAGATAGAACTTGTGGCACCGCTTAAAGAGCAGCCTTGTATTGGGCTGCATGGGGAATCTGGCGATGTCTGGCATTGTTATCTTCCTTTTGATTCTGTTTGCTTGATGACATGGGATTTATACGCTCCGGACCCGGACACAAAGGGGACAAGACAGATGACTTGGCAAGTGTGAGTTGCCATTTATGTTTTCTAAATCCCATGTAATCCGAAGGTAGTGAGGTAGTCTAGCCTAGCTTTTCAGTTCCACTGAAGGAACTATAGAGAAACCACGACCGCACCAAAAATTCCCAAACGCACCGCTTTTCCAGTTCCACTGAACAAACTGTAGAGAAACCACGAGCGCAAAAAAAAACCAACACGCAACAAACACAATCCCCAAACAGCTAGGTTTCATTTTGTTCCCCAACAGCGAAGCTTTAGAAGTCTTCAGCTAAAGTATAGACTTTGGAGCAGATCGGAGCAAGCTCCGGAGCAGGTTCCGGAGAAATAAAGTTCCGGAGCAGGTTCCGGAGCAGGTTCCGGAGGAGGTTTGGGACCAATCAGCCGAAAGCTGTTAAGCAGCATCACCGCCGATGTCCGATTCACAATGTAGGCCAACCATGAACTCAGCAGCGAAACCGGCCACGGTGCCCTCGTCACTGTTTCCTTGATTCGAATGGGTGTCTCCACATGGTTGATCTCCATAGGCAACGATAAGGTCCACCTAGTGATCAACGCTTCAAGTTTCTTGAGAAGTTAGTCGGGTTTTTCCATTCAGCAATGGAGCTCAACAGCTCAGATGAGCATCCTCGGTCGCAAGAGCAACCCCCACTATCAGGATGTATGAACAGCTTGCCACAAGTTCGGAGCGCCTTGCAGATATACGACGGCGTATATAGTGCTCACACGTCACGATGCAGGCCTTGTGTCATACTTGCTGACATGTTGACATGCCATCAGACTACCGTGTGGCGTTTCCTGACCTGCCAATAATCGTGCTGTTACCTCTGACGCGCTGAGTTGTTGCCAGGCCGACAGGCTGACGACATGGTGCCATGTTGGTGTGCTGTGCATGTAGAATGCTGTCATGCAGAAGTGTGTAGACACGTTGTTGCGGCGCATGATTGTCATTGTTACGCTGATATGCCGGCGTGGTGTTACACTGGCACCTTCGGGTTGTCGTGCTGACATATTGTCATACTGGCACGGGCCACGCCAACATGCTAACAAGTTGTTGCGTTGGGATGCGGCAATTGGGCCATGTTGGAAAGCAGTAGTGTAAAACAAACACACGCCACTTGTTAATATCTTGCCCACTTCGCAAACATATCAACAGACACCAAATGTTGCCATTACTAAGTCAGCAAATTCATGCCCAGCTCTTAGGGATTTCTCTTGGGTTTATGTAGTTTTGGCTTTGCAAGGCTGTCATCCTTCATTTTGCTTGATCCATGATTTCGTTGGGTCTCAAACCCCAAAAAGATTATCCTTTGGATTTTTGTCGGCATTCCACACTGAGGAGGAGGACTTCATCACCATTCTGGGCGAAATGGCCTGTGAAAACTCTGGCGCTGCCATCAAGGTGACAGAGCTGCCATGAGTGAATGTTTTGGATGGGCATGTACAGGTTGTAGCCCCACAGCAACCCACCAACAGCTGGGAACCCGTGTGAGTCGACCATGTCATGTGTGTAGTGGGGTATCCGTCAAACACCGGAGAGCCGCACCGCGCTTTCGGAAGGGCCCTGGGGATGGGGTTCGGACAAAGATTCATTCCTTTCATCACCGGCTTCAAAAGTCCCGGAACATGCTTTAATAACTTTAATGAAAGAAATGCTGTTCTTTCCCCCTTTTCACCGTCTTTAATTTCACCTTCCTTTGCAATCTTCAGGGTAGATTTGTGATCCGTAACATCATCAGTTCTTTTCCGACTGCATGTCCATATTTGACGAGAGAGACTGTCAACTCAATGATCAGCTCTTATATATAATGTATATATATATATATATAGTGATTGATGATTTGGTTCGCTTGGCCTAGCAGACCTTACGGTCGTATGGTCGAAGGTCGACGGACTCTAAAGACTCCAAGACAGAAACAAGACCACGACTCCATAGGACCAAGACAGTTTGTTTCAGCTTGCTTTTGCATTTGAAGCTAGAGGACAGTGAAGAGCTATTTCAACTGCATGTGTTCATTCGATTCATTCCCTGACAGGAAGCCTTCGGTGAGACGAGAGAGAACACGGTGGCTTGGCCATCCATCATGTGGTCGTTCGCCAAGGAAGACAACTTCTTGGAGTCGACACGTCGGGGATGTTCTCGTTGGTCATGTCCCCAAAGTGGACTCCCTTTTGCTGCCACAACGATAGTTGACTCCCTCATGCGGAAAAAGAGGGTTACTTACTTGATGCTTCTTGTTCAGGGGAACCCCCCAGTGGTTGTCACGAGGAGGAATCTGCGACCATTTTGATGAAAGATTGTGTACCGAATTTCTCCGAGGCTGACTTGCTCATGCAGCTCGATGGCTCGCTGAAACTGTGAGGACGATGGGATGAGCAGGATGCAGATCTGATTTCAATTTTGTACCATACCAGTGGATGAGGACCAGACTTTAGGGTCAATCGATGTCTATGGATGTCAATGGATGTCAATGGTGGTCAAACTGGTCAAAGGTCAAGTATGGAGTTTCAATTCTTTTGTCAAGGGCTGGGGCTGCGGTTTTAGCCACAGTTTAGACGCTTTTTGGATCTTTTTGGGGTGCACAGGTGAGAACTTTGCCAGGACATCACTGACACCATCAGCCATGAATCCTTGGGTGCTATGGTTAGCTTTCTACATGCTCAAACGAGGAGATGCGGCTGATGGGGGGTAGAGTCATGGAGTAAACATATCACAGTTTATCCGATATCAACTCTTTTTTTGGTGTGTGTGAGAGAGAGAGGCGAATTGCACCTTAAGAATCTTAAGTTCAATTCCAGCTCTCCAAACTAGTCTTTTAGATCTTTCCAATGTGGCCAAAGGTGCCAAGTCATCATAGCGATCGAGCAAAAGTGGCTTGATTGAAATCTCACCTGGTGAAATCACCAACCGGTTGAGACTCCAGACTTGGGCAAAACCAATCTGGGGGATGGTGAAAAATCATCATCATTTAGGGTTTGAAGACTGTGTGCAATTACATGTGATTGCATGCCGCGCCCGTGAAAGAAGCACCACGTCTGATCAGTCGCCACGTCGCTCCAAGACTCGTATGGATCCAAGACTCGGACATTTCCTGGAGAAGAAACTCGGGGTATCGGAGCTAGGAGCGATCGGACGCTTACTAGTAGCTCCTGGCCTTACTACTAGGAACAAGAAGCTACTAAGAACAAGGGCATCGCTACTAGGAGCAAGGACGCTACTAGGGGCTCCTGGCCTAGGAACAAGGACATGGTTGTTTCGGATGAAATGACGTCGTTTCACCCGCTGGGTCCACAACTCGGGAGGCCAGCGTTTCCCGCGGCACAGCGCAGTTCTTCGGAGAGAAGGCACCGCATGGGCGATTGCGCTCCGCCCACTTTGGGCGGAAGGATCCTTACTCCGAAATGAGAGGAAGACAGATGAAAGCAGCGCTAAGCCGCTAAGCCGTGCTGCGCAGACTCTTTTTGAGGCGTTGCTGGAGAATGAGAAGCGAGGTGCCACAGTCCTCGTGACTTGTCATACAATGTGAGCATTTCATCATTGTGTTAGAACCGATCGCACATTGCCCATACATGGCCCATATGTCTCACGTGAGCACTTCAGGTGAAGTCCAAGACAGCCAAGTGCTTGGTCTTGGATCGCGAGTCCTTTGACTTTTTGCTTGGACCCTTGAGCGATATCATCCAGGCACGGAGACTACATTGAATGCACGCCTTTCTTTGCATGAGTTCACCCCACTGACGACCGCACTCCTCCACAGGGCCAGCGCGAGAACAAGAGGGCTGTGCCAGGAGCTGATGGTGGTGACATTTGCCGCGGCAAGCCTGGCAGCCCAGTTCAACTTACCTTTCACAGCCATGGAATGATCCTGGCAAGCAGAGGATGCAGCTGTCTGCAGCACCACTGAAAGAGTTCAGCAGAAAATGTCCTTTTGACCAGAAAACCTTTGGAACCTGCCGACCCTCGTGCTGCGCGAGGAAAGACCAACAAGCAATCCTTGGACAAGGAGGCTAAGTCTCATACCACGATTTGACTCCAAAGACACATGGTGCTGAAATACTCATGCACACATATGACATTACATGTAAGGGCTGCAAGGACACAAACACCAAAGCTAACCGGTACACCTTTGGGTCCCGCAAGTATAATTTCCTTGGTGGACTCTAATCAAAGCAAGCACACTGCCCAAGTGCAATTCACTAAGGATCAAACGACACGACTTGCAGCGTGTGGGCCAGTGCCCCAGTGGATGTGCCTACTGCAAAGGTTGCAAGGGGAGGTCGTATCACTTTGACTTTGAGATCGGTTTGTGAGATATTGATTACTCTCAATTGGGACTGGCTGAATCCGCAGCACTTCATGAATACTTTTCGGTTCTCCTCACATGTTATGAATACACTCCTGAATACACTTCTCAATGCTTGATCCGTTCTTGAATACACAAACATCAGCTCCAAACTCATGGTCTACCACGAGGCTTGCTGGGCTGTGGTGGCTTCGGCACGGTGGAACTCTGGGAGCACAAAGGCGCCAGCGGCGTGAGTTGAAGCATGCCGAAGCTGCCAAGTGAGACACTCCAATACTGAATGAGTAAGTTTAAAATATATTCTTCCTGTTTGAGGTTCTTTTCACGAAAGGTAGCCCTTTAGGGCATACCTTGAGTTTGACTTGCGAAGCAAGTGTCGGCGAGTCCGGGTCTAATAATTGATCATTCAATTCACCCCCCCCCTCCCCCTCGAATTGATTTTTCAATACAGACCCCCCCGCCCTTGGAATTGATTTTTCAATACAGCCCCGCCCCCCCCCCTCTAAATTCAATTCTCTCCTGAAGAACGTCTTCGTGAGCCTCTCATGATTTCAGGATAGTTGAAACCCTCTTGAACATTCAGAAAGAGTGCATATGAAATTCTAATCGCGAAAGGTGTTCCCCGAGGGGATACATACCTAGAGTTTGTTTTGTGAAGCACGTCAATTCTCTCCTGGGGAACGTCTTCGTGAGCCTCTTATGGTTTCAGGATAGTTCAAATCCTATGATGCTCCGATTCAATGCTCACCGATGATCTGAGCCATGGGGCAAGTTTGTTTTCCTCAGAATCTTTTTGAACATTTCGAGAGCATATGTTTGAACATTTCGAGTGCATATGAACATATATTTACGACAGGTCGCCTCCGAGGGGATAAATCACCATGTCGAACATTGCATTTTTGCTCCTGCCTCTCGCGTTCTTTTCTCTTCCCGCTGTCCTACCTTTCGTGTCTCCCTCCTCTCAAGTTTGTATACACCTAGCACTAGGACCCAGGATCCACTCTTCAATTGGGTCCTTTGTGCTCGCAATTTCTAGCCTGGTCTTCGTTCTTTTACTCTTTCGATGGAGCGAACATACAAACGAAGAGGTCAATGGTAAAGTTGTTGGACCAAGTTGAAATTGGAGCCAACGAGTGAAGGTACTAGAACTCACCAGGGTACAGCTGCTACTACTACTACTACTACTCCTACTACTCCTACTACTACTACCACTACCTACTACCTACTACCTACTACCGACTACCCACTACCGACTACCGACTACCTAGTACCTACTACCTACTACCTAGTACCTAGTACCTACTACCTGCTACCTGCTACCTGCTACCTACTACCTACTACCTACCTCCTACTCCTACTCCTACTCCTACTGCTACTGCTACTGCTACTACTACTACTACTACTCCTACTCCTACTCCTACTCCTACTCCTACTCCCACTACTACCTCCAAGTGTTTGGGGCCGGAGTTATGGCATTCCTGGGAAAAGAGACTCCAAGAAGTGGTGCCATACGTAGGGGTCATTTTCGTCATCCTCGGTCGATTCCCTCCGTCCTTTTTTTCGGCAGCCCTTTCGCAGTCCTTTCGCCGCACTGTTCTGCAGGCACTGGAGAGACCTATGCCTTGAAGGGTCTCAGCAAGGTGCGATGAATCGATGTGATGAATCGATGTGCGCCAAGCCAAAGACCACGCGATTCGAAAGCGAAGCGATTCATTTTGTGTTTCAAATTCCTTTGGTGATCCACAAAGGTCATGGATAACGTGACAAAAGGGTGACAGCAACTGGCAGAATATGAGGAAAAAGGTTTCAAAATTCGAAACCTGCCCATCATCAGCACTGATCGAAGGCAACAGGAGGTGACAGGAACAACACGACATTTGTGTTTCCCAGTGATCAAAGTTTGCGTCTTATCTGGGAACACCTGATGTTGGTGTTGAAGCTTTTCGGAGTACCTCAATGTTCGGACGTGCCAAATCCGACAGTGAACCTTGATCGAAGTGGAATTGTATAGCAATCCGGCTTGTCGCTCTACTATGACCATATATTTTTGCTGGCGGTGAAAGTAGACTTGACGATGCTGCGATGCTTTGCAGGGCTACATTGTGAAGACGGGTATGCAAGACAGTGTCATGAATGAGAAGAACATCCTGATGATGACCAACTCCTCATTCATCACAAAACTGTGGGACTGGAAGTCTGGGCGGTTTTGGACGGTGAGTTTGAGTTGAAGACGTGTGTGTAGTTTCCGCTTCAAGGTGTTGAGGACCATCCAACTAGCAACAGATCGCATCCTGCATATGAGCATTGCGGCCAACTTGCCCAATTTTTTGCATGGTGCCCTAGGATGTTCCACCACTTGTCAAGCAAGAACATGTCATGTGAAGCATGGGTGCAAAGGGAAGGGGTATGACTTGTTACATGGCTGGTGGTGACAAATTAGAATGTGAGAGAGGTTTTGTGCTCTGATTTTTTGGTTTCTTTTGAATTCAACGGTGCTTCAGCAAACAAACCACAATCCGCATCACATTGGGTCGGCTTGTCCTCACAACGTCGTACATGTACTAGTGTTCCCAGAAAACGAAACACATGTTGATTCCAAGGTTTTTGTGCTTTGCTATCCAAGTTTTGGAGTTCTGAAAGCTTTACGTATCGGATTGTGGAAATGCTAAGTGAGCCTTCATACCAGCACGCTCAAGACATTGACTTGAGTGTTTTGTGTTGAATCGGTTGGGGGTTCCCACCGCTCCAGGAAACCTACAATGGCACTCAGACCCTGTACTTCCTCCTTGAACCTTGCTTGGGTGGAGAGCTGTATGCCACCTACAACAGGCCAAGCACACTTTTGCGACAGAGGATTGCAGCGGAGAAATCTCTTTTTGATCTTCCAGCGTATCTCGGTCTCAAAGGGGATAGTGCACAAGATCACATATTGATTGGCAGTGAACTCAGTTACTTACGATTGGCAGTGAAAGCTCGGGCTCTGGCGTGTAATGTCGGATCCGTGTTACTTGGAGCACTCGGAGTATCCAGCGGTTCCCTGTGCCAGGAAGGGCTTTCATGGCTCGGAAAAGCATTGCAGGTGCGAACATGGGGAGAAAATGAGCTTCCACTTTGTCTACCACCCTTGGACATGTGGGCTGGAAATTCGTACCTAAGCCTTAGTGGCTCCAGTCCTTGTCCATCCTCTGCCCAAACGACATGTTTTTCTTGGATAGACGGATGATATCGGATGATCCTTCCTTGATAAACGGTGTTTTCCTGTCGCCTGTCGCTCGCTCAGACTCAAGTCAGTCGGATTGAGAACTCTCCAGGTACTACGCTGGCGGCGTGGTCTTTGCTTTCGAACACCTGCACGCGCGGCGGATCATCTACAGGGTTCGAGACCCAAGAATGTCATAGATACTGTCATGTATTGTTTGCTATTGTTTGTTTGATGGGTCATTTTGTTTTCCTGGGATACAACGACAAGCTGCATCAAGTTCATCTTATATATATATATATAACAATGTTCTCCTGCGTGACTGGAAAGAGCATGGAAGAGCCTTGATGTTGGTGGGCCGACCCCAACTGTGAGAACACCAGGAAGCAGCATGCATGAGAGTCATTCGCTGATCTGGATGAGCGGACAATGCTGCTGCTTATCCAAAGCTACAGGAACTTTTCATTGAGGGTTCTTCGATTCTCAAGGCTAAATAAACATCAATTTCAGTTGCAGGGTCTGCCAATGTGCCAGGATCTCAAGCCGGAGAACTTGCTTCTCACCGAAATTGGCCACATCAAGCTGACAGACATGGGCTTGGCCAAGCAGGGCAGCCCAGGTCCATCTTCCCAAAGGGGCGAGACGGCGAGCCCGGGCGAGCCACGGCCTGCCACATTTCAAACACTGGCAGCTAAATTGAACTGATCATCGACCATGACCCATACTTCATCCCCTTCTGGCTCAGGAAGTCAGGCTTTTGGTAGTGTGAAGTGTACTGCTGAGGTTTGTGATCGGCAAGACTTTTACCAGTTGTGGGCTGCACACTCAGATTGAACTGGCTTGATTCCGTTCATTGATGGTCTATTCTTCGACACGCCAAACTCCACCCAGTGAAAGGTAGATCATTGTGCCTACTTTCAATGAAGACAATTGGACAATTGTCAGAGAAGAATGCTCTGTGTTTGCGCCTGTGCGCGCGGGTGTGTGTGTGTATACATATATATATATATATCTTGAGTGTGTGTGTGTCTCTCTCTCTCTCACACTGTGATCTGTGGGCATGTCTCAAAGTCACTCCGCAAAGAGCCATATTCAAAGAGGAAAGCTGAATAGGCCCATGAGTGGGAGAAAAAGTTCAGGAAGACCCTGAACCATGACATTCAGACGAGGACTCCGGATTACTTCGCACCTGAGCTCATTGCCTCCACGGGCCACACCAATGCAGTGGCTGCTTGGAGGGCAGATAGACGGATGCACCTCCATCGTTGTCACGAGTTCTTTGCGACGCGCAAGTCGTGTCAAAAGCACCATAGGAGCTACTAGTAGCTTCTTGTTATTAGTAGTAAGGCCAGGAGCTACTAGTAGCGTCCTTGCTCCTAGTAGCGATGCCCTTTGTTACTAGTAGCGATGCCCTTTGGAGATCGTTTTTTCTCCTTCAGGTGCTTTTGGTTCCTAAAAAGAACACCAAACACATCCAAACACCAAAAGGGAAATACTCAACCAACTCGCGAAATGACCCCAACAGAGTTGTGTTGGCCGTCTCAGGAAACATCCCAAAACTGAGAAAGACAAAACTGAGCCAAACATGATTGATATTTTGTCAGTAAATGTCAGTACACAGCTATTGTATTCGTTGCAGGCGACTGGCATTTTGAGCTCCCTGATCTTGATGCCAAGGATTGGTGGACCCTAGGCATCCTCATCTTCGAGCTCATGCCTGGTGGCCCAGCCTACAGACCTACGAATAATGAGCCACTTCAGCAGATTGGATCAGATGGCGAGTCATTCTTGTGGCAGCTTTCGTGCATTGAGGAATGGGCATCCTCCCTTCGAGAGTGCCTATCCCATGCAGATCTACGCGAAGGTCACCAAGGGTATTTCCAAGGCGCATGGGCGCAATTCGCCGAGCAGGAAGGTTCAATGTTGGGGACCAAGACCTTCAACCTTCACCCCAAGTGCTGCAAACATGCCAAAAAGAACGCATCTAGGAGCAAGGACGCTACTACGGGCTCCTGGCATCGCTACTAGCAACAAGAAGCTACTAGGGGCTCCTGGCCTTACTACTAGGAGCGATCGGACGCTACTAGTTTTGAACGCACGTTGGTTCGCACGGTCAACTGCACACGTCAGGTTCCACACAGTCGAGCTGTAACGACCAACTTGAAGCTTCCTGCTGCCAGGTGCCTTTCCCTTCGCAGTGTGCTGGACCATGCAAGAGCCTGATCGAGGCCAAAAGATGTGTTGTTGGGTTGAGTGCAGACACGTTCCAAGCTCTCGTTGCAATCAAATCAGCGTACAGCAAGATCTTGTGACCACCTACCCATTGGACTCGTTGGAGCACAACGAGACCAGCATAGCACCCTGCGAGTCAGTGTCTGCCAAAAGTGTCTCCATGTTCGTGCGCACCAGGGCCTGCTTCAGCAAGAGCCGAGTCAACGTTTGCCCATGAGGCTGAGAGGGCCGAAACGGGAGGAAAGCATGGTCTTTTTGCGTCGTCGGCGAGACATCCCTGGTTGTTCGGTCGTTCCAGTTGTTTTTTGAGGCCTGGAGGCATTAAGAACCTCATGAACCACAAGTGGCGAGAAGCTCGGGGGCAGGTGGAACGGAGTTGTGGCCACTGGAGTCTCTGGAACACTTCAAAGCCTACAGTAAAACCCGATGGCCTCCAACCTAAGAGCAATGGCCCTCCAACCTCACTGGGATTCACTTCGGGTGGCACGTACGCATGTTTTGATGGTCTAGTTCCGGTGGCGCCCCAAGGTTCTCAGACCTGGACTGGGAGAGCATGCGAAGTCTGGAGCTGCCAACTCCTTACAAACCGGTGGTGCTCCCGGCTGCTTTGGAGAGGTCACTGAGTCACTCCCGCGAAAGCGGGGGATTCTGGGTTCCATGGTTCTGCAGCTAACCGGCACAGCTGAGCCTCCCGGACATCCATGCAGTGCATGCAGGTTTGCTCACATACATGCAGGTTTGTGGGTCAGGCAGGAAAGATCTCGTATCTGGGTAATATATATATATATATACATATATATATATATATCATGATGTAACTACCCTACACATTTCGTTGATTTCCATTCTAGTTAGGCCACCGGAGTGAAGGTTCCCCAGCTTCGCGCCAGGTGAAGAACAAGCGAGACCTCGCCAACTTCAGTGCGCGCAAAGAAGATGCTCCAAGGTGAGAAGGGCAACCATCTAGTGTCATTGCTCGGGGATGCCAGGGGATGCCTTCTGGGACGCGGCAGGGGAAGCGAAAGAAGCATGTTTCATGGGTTTTGTCGGACACTTTCCGAGGACTGGCATGACGCTCTGCAACAAAAGAGCGTACGAAAGGTTCATCAATGCATGAGCACTGAACGATGCTTGCAGCTTTGCACCTTCAACATCCACAAAAGGTGTTTCTTGGTTGGCCCACAGTTCTGGCAACCCTTCTTTGTGGAGTCTTCGTGTCATTTTGTCCAACACGACACGGACGGTCCTCGCTTTCTGCAGGCAATTGGAGTACATCGACCCTGGCACTGCCTGGGACAAGCACTTTGCGACCTCAAGTTGAGCCGCCGGCCTCAAATATGCGACATCAACATTATCATATCGCAGCAAAGAAGCAAGTCACTCCGCTACACTAGTAGAGGTCAAACGTGGATAACGTTGAGTCAAATCTTGAGGTCGGTTTCTTTCGATTCAGCGCGAGGAGACTGCCGCGTCTAGTCAGTCGGGGCATACATACCCATGGACCAATGGACCCATGGAGGGAGCTTGCTTCGAGTCTGCATCCAAGGCCTGTACCACATGGCTTTTAACCTTTAGCGTGTGTCTCACTCTGAACGGACCACTCGAGCGTTGGTCGGCTCGCCTAATGGGCTAGCACCACTGCACAGGTAGATGACAAAGGTCATACCTGGTTCGTCTCACAGAATGCTGGAAAGCAGGCAAGTGAAGGGGTTCAGCACGCTTTTTGAGGCCAGAAACCGCCACGATGCGCTCTTGGGTCTCTTGAACTCATCCAAGCCTATGTGAGCTGGAACACGTTCAACATTTGAGGGTAGGCAGCTGATGGCTTCTTCAAGTCATTCCTTTGGCAAGTTGAAGCACATCTAGGCCCTAGGCAGAGTGTTGTTAGGCACCGAACACCTTCTGCGACCACAGTTTATGAGGTGTGCTGGCATCAGGTGTGCTGCGATTCTTTGACAATGGTTCCAGCTGTGCGGCGCATCCTTGATCAGAAGCTCGGTGAAGGGGGCGCTAACATAGTGCCTGCAGGTGCCATGTTTTTGGCCGTTCGCCCCGGCATTCGCGGTCTGCTACGAGGACCCCCTCAACAACCTAGAATTGATGGGTTTTAACTCTCTGATAAAGTCACAAAGTCCTACGAGTGTCAACTGCACTAATTACTTGATCAACGTTTGTGCGCCACAGCTGCAGTCGCTGCCTTCGTGTCGGCTACAGAGCTTTGGTCCAAAATCAGGACACTTCTTCGAGATTGTTTTGTGCTGTGACCTGTCATCATGCCAACACACACACACACACACAAACTCATGCGTGTAAAGAGGCATCCCATCAGCTTTCTATTATTGGCATGATTGTTCTATTGTAGAGGTAGACATTGTCTTGACAGCCTTTGTGGCTGCGATTCACCACACTGTCTAAAAGAACATGTTGTGGTCAGTTACCCTCTCTTTTCTGGAACGTCACCTTTAGTGCCCGGTAGGGACCCCAGCTTTGGTACCTATGTAAGCTTCTTTGTGAGGAACCAGAACCCTGCAACCGAGAGACGAAGGCAAAGGCTATGTTTCCAACTGGCATGGGGACCATGTTCGCTTGCCAATGAACCCAATATGCAAGCAGCCCCATTTTGTCGTGCCGGTCACGCAGCCGCGTTTCGTGGCATCGTGAGCTTAAGCGCGGCCGAAGCAACAAAACGTCGCCGCATCCATGTGGAGTTGCCCTCCAATTGGGAACATGCCTAGTTTAGCTGTTTGCAATTTCAGCCGCAGGGTATTTCAGATCATCAGAAAAGAACAGAGGTGCAGAGTGAGGGCCACGTTTCTTTGCGGGGATGCGAAGTAATGAATGTTTGATCTCCGGATGGATCCGCAAATTGTGGATGATCGGCGAGAGCGGAAAAGATGTCGAAAGATTGGAGTGGCTTGGTTTCGGAATTTCAATGGCTGAGCCAACAGAAAGAGCAGGAGACAATGAGATGAGTTGAGATCCACCTTTTAAATCAACTGTATTTGGTCAGGTCAAGGGATCCGGTCACCCAGTGTACTAGCAGTTACTAGCAAAGACTTTGAGGTGTAGCTAGCTTTGAAAGATATTGTTATATCTAGAAAGACGCACCCCCGGTTTCAAAAAGGGTCCGTGGATAGATCCCGCGGTGCCGCAGCCGTCTTCGGTCCGAGCGAAGCTGCCGTCGAACAGTTCGCCGTCTTAGTTGGCCAAGCGCGTCGCGATGTCGAAGTTTGTGGGCGTCCTCTCTGGAGCCAACCAGTATGGCAGGCACCGATGGTTTGGGGGAAGGAGAAAAGAGCTGAAGCCAGAACATCAACGCATAGAAGCAGAGGAACATTGAGGAACATCGAAGGTGGGGATTCTTGTGAGGAACCGTCTTTAAGCTGCTCATCCTTATATGGATTCTTCCAGCAAGAACAGTAGGGAGCCAGGAATTTCCTAGTTACAAACTCGAGAAAGTGCTGAACCAAGGGTACAATCATTGCACTATCCTCAGACTACCTCGGACTCTCTGTCCCTCTCCAACACTGCCTCTTGCAGGGTGGGTACTGGTTGCTTGGTTGCTTGGTTGCTTGGTTGCTTGGTTGCTTAGTTGGTTGGTTGGTTGGTTGGTTGGTTGAAATGAGACAAGCTAAGATCCCATACTGTTGATGGACAAAATCCTGCACCACTTTTGCGCACACTTTTCTTGCTGCCCTCGTTCTCCCTCGTTAACATTGGGGCCACCACAGTGAGAAAACAAAAACAAGTTGAAGGTCCAAAATCCTGCACCACCTCCTCAGAGGGGTCGCGCCAACATTGAATGAGGGGGCACGCGGGTTGCTATGCGACCCTTCCAGGGTAAAGTGGTGTGGTGGTGTAGGATTTTGTCCATCAACAGTACCATTCATTAAATGACTGAGAAACTTGCAGATTAGCTCCAAAAGGGAGCTACCAGATGCCAACAGTGGGAGGCCCACGGAGTCGGAGGACGTACTAAGGCGAACGAGCACCAGAGTCAGAGGAAGACCGGTGCCGCAAACGAATGTGAAGTCTGAGAATGGACCGGTGGAAGACCCTTTTCCTCTACAGTACAACCCAGTGGTTTCAGGGTTCCATGTTGATCTGCAAGGGAGTATCCAATAATTGCCAGTATTACTAGAAGAGTGGTCTTCACTCTGTGCGCTGCAAAAAGGGCAGGGGCCCGCCATCATCGATATGTCCACACGACGATCGCAACCTTTTGGTAAACGTGGTTGGTGGATTCCCTTGTTGACAAGGGCCGGGCCTACACAACAACAACAACAACAGCAGCAGCAGCAGCAGCAGCAGCAACAACCACAACAACCACAACAACCACAACAACCGCAACCACAACAACTTCTTCTTCTCACGCGCCCGGAGGGGTAGCGCAGCCGTTCATCAGTGCTCATGACTGACGGACTCCTCTAGGGAGTACATTTCGAAGGCAGCAGAGCCATCGCCAGAGTGTTTTCTCCAGGAGATGCTATCAAGCATTTAGGTGGGAGTGGCGGTGGTCAGAACCAGCCAGGGCAGTAATGCCAAGCCACTGCATCTACTGACTCATCATCTATTGAAAATCAAATCAACATGAATTGAATCAAATTGAAACGAAAAGAGATCAGGTCAAAAATTCGCTCAAAATTCAGCATAGCTGAGAGCATTCAGGACAATGACCATGTAAGGTCAACAAGATCTAAGGCAGGAGCTACCTCATCCCTCAGTCATCCGCAGGCGCTGCATCCGCACCGGAGAGCCGCTGCAGCGCACAGGTCTCAGGCGGCAGCAAGGCATCATTGATCCGTGCAAGGAGCAAGGCCAAGCGCTGCGCATCATCTGGAGGTTCATCATCATCAATTTGTGGCCAAGCGGCTGTGGTTTCAGTGGCAGTTTCCTGCTCCTCCTCAGGGAGATCCTGGAAGGTGCCAAGTGGCTCTGGAGTCAGGTCACCTGAAAGGATCCTGGATGGTCCAGGAACCAGGCCAAGGCGCTCATTCAGTGTAGGAAACGATGTATCCAAGGCACAATTGTTGGGACACAACCAAACCAGAACCAAGCGCTGCTTGGCCCAAGTGGGAAGGACCTGATGCACCTTCAGCCGGCTTTTCATCGTCCATCTCATACCAGGAGTCCCGGTTGCAGGCCTTCAGGAAGGTCGCAAAGTGTCCTGAAGAGTGGCTACCAAAGTGTACAACTCCTGAGACAGGTCGGTGAGGAATCCATGTGATTTCAGCAGTACGATCGTCCTCAAAGAACGGCAAATTCACCTCATGCTCAAGCTCCAGCACATTGTTGTGGCCTGGGAATTTCGTGAGCATAACGAGGCGATCAATGTACACACATTTCAATGGTCCAGCAGAGAGGAAACCTGACCGCATAGATTCGGCATATACCCAAGGCTGAAGTAACTGCTGCAATGAAGGGGTAGGAATATCAAGTTCATACAGACAGTCCAATGCCAAGGGGAACTGCCATGATCCAGCCTCAGAGCGCTCTACTTTTCTGCCAGCAACAAATCGGCGTTCCCATGTCATGGAGATGGCCTCCGTCTCACAAGCCACACAATGAGCTCAGATACGAACTCTCCCACATCCCTTGGAACACATGTCCTCTGGACATGCTGAAAGAGATCCATGAAGGCTTCCACTACTTTGATCCCCGGTGTAGAGTGAAGCGCATGAAGAAAAGCACGAACCGGCCTAAGCTGTACGCCGAAGTCTGACAGGGAGAAGGTCTGGCGGCGCAGAATGGCCCACAAGGTGCAGAGCAGCCCCGCATTTGCCCAGCGCCAGCAGCTATCATTGTGCAGCTTGGCCCCCAAAATCGCACCTCGAAGGATGTCACCTAGTGACGGCGGTTGCCGGGCTTGCGAGGATATGCAATTTTTTTTGTGGATTTCCTGAGCCGCCCGAGATCGTTGCTGAGAGTGGGCTTTCAAGCGGCCTGCAATGAGCATCCAGATTGCCGAACCAAGTAGGTGTTTCATTTCGCACATGAGGGCATCGTTCCTCATCGAGAGCTGAATTTTCCATGGCGTCACCCCCGTTGCCTGCCCCTGACTTCGAAAGAGCAAAGAAGCGGATCAGATTGCTCGGTTCCTGGAGGGCTGAATGCAGTCGTTGAAGTCGTTGTTCCATGTCCTGAAGGGACATTCCCGGCGGCAGAAGACATTTCTGCTGATGATTCCACTGCAGGTAGCTCTGACGGCGAAAGTCCTCGTCCGAGAGCTTCGTGCAAAACCCTTTGAAGCGTCTCATCAGTTCCTCCAGCAAGGTCTGCATCAAGGTCACTCGGAGAGGGAGCGTGACATTGGATTGCTCC